CCACTGATACTTTGCAGCCTAATCTTTCGGAAGTGAAAATAAAACAAATTCACCTTCACTGTGAAAGCAAATTTGTTTTATTTTCACTTCCGAAAGATTAGGCTGCAAAGTATCAGTGGTTAAAATTTATTTTTTCCACTGTACCATAGCAGTACAACCCCAATCTTTTTTTATGTTCCTGTCATTTTACTGAAGACTGCTTCTCTAATCTCAGGGAATTCAACGCGGGATTCACAAAACACTCGCTCTTGAAAGACGGCTTAGTACCCAATTTATTTGGACCAGCTCGCTCCACTGAATCACAACCTGTAAGTATGATAAACAACAGATGTTTATATTTTTTATTTAGCGTTCAAAATACGGAACTGGCAACGGGCGTATTGTTTCCGACACGTGCTGTACGTGGTAGACCAATCACAACAGACTGGGCCATCTGACCAATCAGAGCAGAGTAGGCTCACGGAAAGTGAATCTTAGAACTGCTTTGAATGAATTGTTTGAGAATCGTTGGGAAAATGAGTTGATAACTAAATGCATATTTTGAGAAAACTAAAGCATTTTTTGACCTTGAATGCATGTAAACCTACAGTATTGTAGGAGACTCCCAAAGCAATATTAGGAACCTTAAAAATGACATAATAGGGCCACTTTAATTAAACAAGTTACTGTAATAGTTCACCCAAAAATTACAATTCTGTGATAATTTATTCACCTCATGTCGGTACAAACCTGTATGACTGACTTTCTTGTGTAGAAATGTCTCAGTGTTTTTCATCCACACAATGGAAATCAATGGTCACCAAAAGTATTTGGTTATCAACACAAAAAATACCTTATTTTGTGTGGTGGAGAAGAAAGAAAATCAAACAGGTTTGGAATGACATTAGTTAGTAAATGATGACAATTTTCATTTTTGAGTGAACTATCCCTTTAAGGTACATTATGAAGAACAAGACCAATGGTGCCAATAACTGTGATAATGAAGTTCTCTCTCTCTCTCTGATGCAACATACACTCTCACCAGTGGTGGAAAGAGTACTGAAAAAATATACTCAAGTAAAAGTACCATTACCTTCCAAAAAATGTATAAAATATTAAAGGGGTCATATGATGCTATTTTTAAGAACATTCTTTTGTGTATTTGGTGTAACAGAATATGTTGACATGCTTTAATGTTCAAAAAACACATTGTTACATCCCTACATACTGCACCTTTTGGGTTAATTAGGTTAAAATAAAATATTTATTATTATTATTATTATTATTATTATTATTATCATCATCATCATCATCATCATCATTTTACAGTATATGTATAGCAGATCTTGAAGGTTTGGTGGTTCTGTGGGACATTTACATCACTCATAAAAGTATAATACATACATTATCACAGCTAAGATAATGCAAAAGGGTCTCTGCGTTGTTGAGCTTAACTTCCCTTAACTTTTCCCATTCATTCTCTATGGTAGTGCTTAACACTACGGATGCGATGTATTTTTGGCCACGCGTAGATTTCATGGCGCTGTTTCGCCTTTTCCGTGGCGGGGTATTCAAACAGCGGATAGTCATCTGTCAATCAGTCGCTGTGAAGGAGAGGATACGCGTTTTACGATCGGAGATTTCCTCACAAAATTGTTTTGTTTAAACAACATACACTGTTAAACTACCTCGGCTGTATTAACTATTACGTAATTGATTTGTTATTTTTTTTGTTAAGTCTTCAGATTTTACCTCAAGCTTGTTTTTTTTCCCCTCAGAGGTCAGCGCGATACTCTCATCAAGCAGGTAAAGTGAATTCTATGCTTCTTTTTGAAAAATAAATGGTACAATTAATTACTTATTGTATAATTATATAATCATATTTATATGATTAATTATATCAGTTGTTCTGAATGGTATGTGATTTTCAAGTCTTTAGTGCAAATACTGTACACAAAACAAATAAAAAGTTAGGCCTAACAGAGCTTAGTTACTTTATGAATTTACTGTGTGTTCAGCAGTAAACCACACAGTAAACCAAATTCTTTATAGATAATGCAACTGCTGTATTTTATTGTAATATCTTTCTTTGTAAAGTTGAATGTTCATATATCATATGGAACACAATCAAATCAGGTTAATAGTGTCAAAAGTCAACAAGTCAACAAGTTCCACAAGCAACAACGACTTATCCAAGTGACTGCTGCAGAACGCACGCGAGAGAGAGACGAGGCAGCGCAGATCGCGAGTCTCATAAAGGCGGGCGTACACGGTGCGATTCTGAAGGTCGGAACATCGTGAGCTCTGGCACATGTCACGATTGAGTTTATCCGAAAATCGTACGGAGGCAGTCACACACGACACGTATGTGATATATTTACTACGATTTTACAAACTCTGACGTAAGCATTACGTTTCGCGCCATTAATAAAAATATGGATTCTGAGGACGAAATAGTTTTCTTTGTGGCAGGCGGCTTGTGATGTACAAAAAAAACGAAGACAAAGGACATGGCAACGAGAATGGCTGAAAAGCAGAGAAAAGCATGGACTTTCTGTTCTTCATAAAGAACTGGAGGGAGTAGGCCATTTCTGAATTTCTGCTCGTTTTGCCAGAAATAAAACAGGCATATTCATTCATCTTAACATATTAAGTTAGATGAAGATGCCACTGAATTGATGCTTGAATAATGCACTTCCAGCAGCCATGATAAACAGTTGGCGGTTAAAGTTTTCTATGCACAATTTGATTTGACGAAAGTCACGAGACCTATTACTATCTATCCAATCACGTTGATGGATAAAAATAAAATTAAAATAAGCATGTAACGACCACAAACGGAGGAAAATAGCGGAGTAAAAGTACCGATACATCACTTAAAATGTACTAAAGTAAAAGTAAAAGTACACAATTTTTAAACTACTCAAAAAGTACAATTACTGATAAAAACTACTTAATTACTGTAACGTGAGTATTTGTAATACGTTACTTCACACCCTTGACTCTCACATTACACAAACATTTTTGCATTTTTAAGTAAGAACATCCAGCTTCCTCTCATTCTCACACAGAAGAACTAGAACACTCTAACAAGCATCTTATTGTCTGGAATGGAACAATGAGCCTACCTACAAAATAAACAAAGAAAATAGACAGACAGAAAAAGCTGAAGCAGACAGAACCAAGACAGAAGTGCACACACACAGAGCCATATATTGTCAGTGCCCATATAAAATCACTGAGATGAAATGAGAAAATTGAGGGAAATAAATGACATATTGCTGCAGATCTACGAGGCATTCAGTTGAGTTTACATAGACACTGGTCAAAACAAAAACACTAAAAATACCCCCTCTCTGAGTCATAATTTTTCTTGAACCCCACTCAAAAACCAAACCCAAATATACACACACCACACAGTGTTCAAGCGGGTCTCGCGGGCAATCAACTCGCACACAGACACCCGTAGTGGGTGGATGAAAGACAGTGCACTAATGGCAAGGTGCTGTGTTTAATTAGTGCTTCAAAGAGTGGAAGGGGGCTTCCTCTTCCTCCGCCCCATACAAATCATCCACAATCACCACAACCAATCGAAAACATGACAACCTGCTCGCACAGCCCATCACACAATCTGACAACCTGCCAGCACTCTATCCCCAGGAGTTTACCAGCTGCAGCTCTTCAGCCTGTGATCAACAAAGTCTTATTCTCTCGCTCAAATGCTCTCACATAGTGTAAACGTAACAACCACAAAAGATAATGCAATAATTTCAGATAAATAAGTAATTCTTGAGTTCTGTTATCCAGAGGCTGGGTAACTCTCGCTATAGTGTAGATGTGGTATAGATTGAATTTTTAGAAAAGAAGTCACTCCAGTTTCACTCCTCTTCCTCTATTTATGTCATAACAGTACAATTGTGTGAAGGAGGGGTGAATCTAGAACGAAAATGGATTAATGTGAATGTTTAGAAGAGAAGTCACTCCAGTTACATTCCACATCATCTATTTATGGTATAACAGCACAAATGTGGGAATGAAAGCTGAATTTGGAATTTAAGTAATATGAGTTTAGAATAGGAGTCCAGATACACACTTCTTCTTCTACATGTCATAATAGCTCAGATGTGTGACTTAAAGGGTTAGTTCACCCAAAAATGAAAATTCTGTCATTAATTACTCACCCTCATGTCGTTTCAAACCCGTAAGACCTTCATTCATCTTCAGAACACAAATTAAGATATTTTTGATGGAATCTGAGAGCTGTCTGACCCTCCCATAGACAGCAATACAACTGAAATGTTCCCAAGTCCAGAAACGTAGCAAGGAGATCGGTAAAATAATCCATGTGACATCAGGGGTTCAACCGTAATTTTACAAAGCTACGAGAATACTTTTTGTGCACAAAAGAAAAAAAAAAAAAGACTTTATTCAACAATTCGTCCCCTCCGCATCACCCTGTAGCGCCATTTTGGAGAGTATCCGCTGGACGTAAACAGCATATGCTGTTCTGTGTCAGCTGCCTCAAACGGATACACTGTTTTCGTTCAGATCAAATCACAACAATGTAGGAAACAGATCCGGCGCGACGCAGCTGACACAGAACAGCATACGTGTGAATGCATACAATGAATGTGGAATGAAAGTGGATTCATGTAAGTGATTACAAAAGGAGTCACTATAGTGCCATTCTTCCTCTACTCATGTTGTAATAGCACAAATGTGTGGCTGAACAATGAATATGAAATGAAAGTGGATTCATGTGAGTGTTTAGAAAAGGAGTCACTCCAGTTCCACTCCTCTTCTTAAACAGCAAATGTGGAATGAAAATAGATGGAAAGAAAGTGGATTAAATGAAAGATGATTAATGTTTATGTTTAACAAAGGTGTCATTCCAGTGCCACTACTTATCCTCTGCTTGTACCTTGTCAATGTTTTGACAGCAAAAAAAATGATAATAAAAAGTGACTGTGGAATTAAAGTGCATTAAGCATTTATGCATGAAATAAAAATCATGCTCCTACCATTTTCCTTTTCCTCTCCCATTTTGGTGATGGACTTGGGCAGGCCCAAACTGGCCGCAGTGGGCAGCGCTCCAAGTAATAATGCTAACGAGGGCCGTTTGGTTGGAAAGACTTTCTCTCCATCTCGCTCCTGCTCATTGTCCCCTCCAACATCTCCACATATAGTACTGTACAGGTGAGATGCTGCTGCCCTCAGCTCGTCGTCCTCTCCTTCCTCATTACCAGCAAGGATGCTGGATGACGCCAAGGAAATCACATCATCTGGAAAAAGCAAGCAAGGAAATATGCACACATCACAAATTAATCATTGCAGGAGCATCAAATAAAAGAGTATAATGAAAGAAAGAAATTGCTGCATGAATGCAACTAAAGTGCATTTATTTTTGTAATTAAATTATTTTGCTAATTAAAACATGAAGCTAGATGCATTCGCCCTTTGATTTTGAACTTCGCTATAATCCAGCTGACATGGGGAGAAAGTAATTATACAAACACACAGTTGACCTCAGTAACACACATGCATGCACACACACTACCGTAAAGTGAACACACATGCATGAAAAGAGACACTCAGACACACACACAAACACTCCCATGCTCGCGGTCTTAATTAGCTCCCTCCTGTAATCACTGCATTAGAGAGAGAGAGATAACACGCATGGGGAAGCACTGGATCTCTGATTGTGGCTGTTGCTGAACAAGGAGCTAATTGGACAGCAACACAAACAGAATTTCTGCAACACTCCATTTCCTGAAGAAAACTTGTGAGAGCAGCATTCTCACCAAGCAAAGAGCAATTCTAACAACAAGAAAATCATTTGTTTTAAGCACAAATATTTTAATTTTGGTCCTTATGGAGCACTTCTGCCAGAATTCATACACACGTACTTGTTCTTCCCCATATTCTAATATTGATAAATCTGTAATATCGGACTGTGTGCCTGCATTTAGTAATTGGCTAAATACATCGCAAACAATCTTCATATAGGGGTTTTCAACTCAACAGCCATTCAACACTCTTTGCAAATGAATTCTTTCACTTTTCATTTTTCTAAATATGCCCTCCCATCTGAGAACATGCACTGCACAATCTTCATTTCATGATCTGTATTTCTTTAGCTTAAACAGAAGTGTAAATGTTCAAGTACAGCCAAGTGTGTCATTCTCAAAACCAGAATTAGTAGAATTAACTGGCCTGAACTGCACTTCCAAGTCTACCCAAGAATGAGCTATATTTCTATATTATATCATTTTTGTCACACTGGTTACTTAATATTAATAATTAAAAAAAATAGATATTAAAAATGTATATTTATAAAAATGTTATTTAAATATAAATTAAAGCATGTAGGGACATTAAGATTTTTTTTTTCAAAGAAATTCATTCTTTTATTCAACAAGGAAGCATTAATTCAATCAAAAGTGACAGTAAAGACAATGTTATATAAAAGACTTCTATTTCAAATAAATACTGTTCTTTTGAACATTCAATTTATCAAATATTCCTGAAAAAATGTATCACAGTTTCCACAAAAATATTAAGCAGCACAACAATTTTCAACTGTGAAGAAAATAAAAAAAATTTAATCACCAAATCAGCATATTAGAACGATTTCTGAAGAATCCTGTGAAACTGGAGTAATGGCTGCTGAAAATTCAGTTTTATTATTTTTTTCTCTAGCTTTATTTTAAATTGTAAAAACATTTAGCAATATTACTGTTGTTATCTGTTATCACATAAATGAAGCTTTGGTGAGTAAAAGAGACTTTTTTCTAATTAAGCACAAACTTTGGAACGGTAGTGTACTTTTCTGCGGGATTGTGTGTGAACACTGTACCATCTTTGGAATAGGATGCATAAATCCCCCTGGCTTTGGGCCTACAGCTCTCCAGCTCGACTTCAATCTCATCCTGATATCCACAGATTTCACCTGCAGAGCACATACAGGTGTATGCACACAAAGCAACACGTCAACAACACAACGTATTAGGTTTGTTCAAACATCCTTGATGTAAATTAAAGCATAAAATCCTGTCGAAATGTTTCTAGGTACCTTCAATATCATCAACTTTCTTTGCGAGCTCTTGCTCAATCTGTGGAAGGATTCATAAAGAAAAAAAAGGATGGATACATATTGCGCATACAGCATCGCACATATTGCAAAACTGGTCGATTTAAATGTTAAAATTTCTAAATTAAAGTGCCATGTGATGCGTTACCTGTTTTAGCTTTTGCTTCTTGAGTCCAGCCGTGTAAGAGGGCGGGTCACACTCCTGCTCCAGATCCACCCTCAGGAACTCTTCAATAGTCAGCTCACTGGTGGGCGTGTCCTCAAATTCATTCAGCCTGTCAATCAAACACACCGGGGGTCAAGACAGTCAACTGAACAGCAAAATGGGCCCTAAATTCAAAGCCTCAGAAACACAATAAACAGAAACACCAAATATGCAACACCAAAATACAGAAATGGCACCAATTATATAATATTAATTATATTGCTACAGATTATAATACTGGCCATACTGTGATTATTATTTTAAAACAAAACACACCTTTTTCTCAGTGTGGCTTCACAGACTTTCACCACACTGATCACTTCCTTAATTGTGCGACGGAACTCGTGCATCCGGGCAGCAACCAAGAGCGCTACAGGGAACACAAATACACAACTGTAGGCACAATATATACACATTCCGCCAATGGCAAGAGAAAAAGAGAGAGAGAGAAAGAAAGGAAAGAGGACACAGTCAAATATGAAACTTTAATAGGGCTTCAGAAAAGTGCGTTCACTGTACCTGCCCCCCTACTGACTCATCTCAGGCAGAACAAACAGACATTAAATGCACCTGCAATATTGCAGAACCACTGATGCCTGTTTCACTCTGATTCATTAAAGAAACATGAAGAGCCAGATGCACTTCTGAACTACCTGACAAACTGAAGAATGTCCAACACCACAAAGCATGCAAGCATGTAAAAGATACTGAATAGTTTTAGAGCTTAATGATTCCTCAAAGAAGAACTAATTAGAAATATGACATTGTGGTTCATTGTCATTCTCCAAAACTATTTTACTGACTTTTTACTGAATTTGCCTGCCCACAACAGCTTAATCTGACATAATTTTAATAGATAAAAGGGTATGGTGTACCACTTCTGATTTAGGTTGTCCTGTAAGAAAGTAGAAATGAGATTAAAAACAATAATGCAAGGTTAACCTCTCCAAAAAGTGGTAAAGGGAAACACCATTTCAAACACAAAAATGGACAGAAACGAGAAAAAATAATTTTCTAATTCATAAACTCAAGGATCACGTGATACTGAAGAGTGAAGTAATGGCTTGCTGAAAATTCAGCTTTTCCATCACAGGAATAAATTACATTTAGTAAAAATTACTAACAATATATTAAAACGGACAACAGTTATTTGAAATTATAATAATATTTCAGGATATCACTCTTTTAACTGTATTTTGGATCAAATAAATGCAGCTTTGGTAAAGACTTCTTTCAAAAAAAAAAAAAAAAAAGTTTAAAAATGCTTATTACTTTTCTCATATGCATCTCGCAATCACAGACAGCAGTATATGAGGGCCCTTACATGATCCTAAATAAAAACACGTATATACACGAAATACTCTAAATGCATAATCATGTGACAGATTAAAGGGGTGACACATTTTACCCCACTCTCCCCTACATGTCCAGGGGTGTCAGCTACATCTAACCGAGTGCTATCCTGTGCTCAAGTTCATGTGGTGTAATAAAAAAATAGCCGTTTCCTCCTCTGCTGTTAACCCTGCAGGATATCAAACCAATCTGTGTTCCAGCTACTACATGAGGACTATTCAACAAGCTTGAGGCCTTCATCACACTCAGCTGCTGTCCCTGCCTCACAGTTTGTCTTCTTTCTGGGCCTTTCTCACATTCTTTCATTCTCTCTGTTGGCCTGCCTTTCTTTCTCAAGTCTCTGATCTCTCGCTGCAAAACAAACTCTTTTAGGCTCATGCTTCCTCTTTTCTCAGCACTGCTTCTAAAAGATTAATGGGAGATTAATTATTCAGGTTATGCAGTGGAGGGGGGGCAGAGAAACTCAAGCTGAGAGTCAGGAGGAGTCAGTTATTTTAAAAACTTAATTACTGGAACTCAGTATTATTAGACTGTGTCAAGTTTACACAAGACTGAAAGTGTGAGAAAGTAAAACCGATATTCATAAAAATGCAATAGAAATTAGCTGCACTGGATCTCTGAGGCAATTCACAGTGCCAAGAAAGGCCTCAGTGAGTGTGAGAAAACTAACACTTTCAGGAATCATTCTCTTTCATTAAGACTGATTGGTGATTTGGGAACCGCTTCAAATGCATGAGCTGATCTAATTACACATTATGACAAACTGTATCTTAAAAAGTTTCCTGACACAAAACTTTCAATTCTGGAAAGGGTTTCGGGAGCGTACATTCCAACTGGATGTTTCAGCGATGGTGTATGTGGTTTTGTGCATACAAAGCAACCCTTCACTAGCTCACATCATTAAAGAGATCGCACTGTTAGGGGAGGGTTGCCATGGTTACCTGCTCCGCAGAGGCCTGAAGGTCTTCGTCCCGTGTGCATCCAGTCTCTCTTCATCCTCTGCAGGAGACGCAGTGCCGTCATCGAAACCTCATGGCTCTTCTCTCCAAATTCCAGCATTTGCGCAAAGCGCGGGATATAAAGACACGGATCTGAAAGAAACAAATCTCTTACAATTACAAAGCTACACAGAGAATATTTAGACCTTCTCAAACACAGTTGCATTTTCATTTCAATAACGTTCAGCCAATTAGTGTCAAATCTAAAGCTTAAAGCTGCTAATGAGTCTATGCGAGGGTTTGTCAAGTCAAGTCACCTTTATTTATATAGCGCTTTTAACAATACAGATTGTGTCAAAGCAACTGAACAGCATTAATTAGGAAAATAGTGTGTCAATAATGCAAAATGACAATAGTAAACACTAATTTTTCAGTTAAAGACAGTTCATCATTGAATTCAGTGATGTCAACATCCAGCTCAGTTTAAATAGTATCTTTGCAATCAAGTCAACGGTATCGCTGGAAATGAAGTGTCCCCAACTAAGCAAGCCAGAGGCGACAGCGGCAAGGAACCAAAACTCCATCGGTGACAGAATGGAGAAAAAACCTTGGGAGAAACCAGGCTCAGTCGGGGGGCCAGTTCTCCTCTGACCAGACGAACCAGCAGTACGGAAAAATCAATTTAAGACGTAATAAAACAGACGATGAACACTATTAACAGCAATTATTATATGATGCAATCAAACTTATAGCAAAATGTGGTAGTTCTGTATGTTGTTTGTGGAAGATATGCTTTACAAGTTTAAAGAGCTAATACTTTGGCTCATGACCACTGATGACTTTTCAGTTAAAAATGTAATTAGTTATGATAATGCAGCAAATATTACCTTTATGCTCACGATTCTCATTAAATACTACATACGGAGAACCTCCGTTATTAAACTTTAGCAAACTGCTTGACTCTCACACTATCAAAATTGTTTAGTAAAAGAAACATTACAGGCAATAGAGGGACCTCAATTTTCTGACAATTTTCCACTAATATTTTCAAAAGATTATGGCACTGTGTGAGAAACTCAAAAGTCTTTCTGCTCAACAAAGCATCAGCAAATTTTCCATTTAATCCAATGATTCCCAATCAGGGATATGTATAGTCCAGTGGGTGCTTAATCAGGCTCCATGAGGGTGATACTGAGTTGTTAAAAACGATAAAACAGAAATGATGACATCAAAATTATTAGGGCAGTAAAGTTATTTTTAAATAAATATATAAATAAACAATCTTAGATTTTTATGGTAATTAGACTCTGGAGAGAGGGAGACTTTACTCTCTCTTCTCCATAAAAATACAGCTTTTTTTTTTAAAGACTGTTTCCATCAAATTCCTCAGTCAGTCAATCAAACCAATATCAATCTAAATGCCGTTGTTTTTTTTTTTTTTTTTTTTTTTTTTTTTTTTTTAGAAAAAGTGTCTCCTGTGCCAATGGGAATCGGATATACATTTTTAAATGTAGGTCAGATATCCAGATATCAGATTATGCATCTAATTTAAAGTGGCTTAAAGCTAATGTGAAAAAACTGAATCTCATGCGCATTTTTTGTGTTTATACATGTGCAACAATATCTGATTTGTGTCAGATATGAGTAAAAAAATATATATTTTGTACCAATGCAACAGCTAGATTCAATAAACCGCTTCAGTTTGAGGGGGCGCTACACTTTTGAAAAATAAAGATCTCAAAAGGGTTTTTTCGTAGTGATACCAGAAGAACCATGTTGGGATTCCCGAAAGAACCTTTCAGTGATCCACCCAGTTTCCCCCCTTAGTTTGAAGAACATTTAAATAATCTAAGGAAACGTTTTTTCCACTTTTTGTGCAAAGGAAATGTTCCATGGAAGTTAAAAGGTCTTATTAAACCATACATGCCAATAAATAATAATAATTTTTTAAAGAGTATACCTGTCCGGATATATTTTTTTCCCAGCAACATCAAATGTTTTAGTTTGACACTGAATAATTGTATAAGTAGTATAGTTTTTAACGCCATGTAAGCAACTGAGTTACAAAATAAACAAGTGTTCCATACAGTAAAATATGAACTAAGCAAAGAAAATACAGCAGATAAGTGAATAATTGTAATAATGGCCATTTTAATAATGTTAAATATGCATGCAGTATATTCAGCACAATATAATGAATACACTGTAATGTATTTAATGTTGATGAAGGGGAGCTTGAGCTTTACTGATGAGACTGCGGGGGTACATAAAGCAAGAAAAATTGGGAAACACTGATCTAATCCCCACTACATATGTTCACTATAAGCCGCTTAGATCCGTCTGTGCTGTCTGTGGGAAAAAGAATAGACCGGGGGAGAGAAACAGAAGCATCACGGAGAGCAGTCGTGCGCACTACAGTATTTCCACAAGTCCAGCCCTCGTCCGGTTTCAGACTCCATCACGACCGAACGTGAACCGGATCAATAAAACTTTTGACATCGCTTTGAATCGAGCACACTGCTTCAGCTGTGTGATGGCAACAAACTAACGCATAAAATACAGAATTTAAGGTAAGAACACGCACGATCTTTTCTCTTATTGGTTGCACTAGTAGAACAGTTAAAGTCTGACGTAAACGTTACATTTACAGAACGCAAGCTGGTTTGTAACAATCTGCAGCGCGCGGGTTGAAATGTATCGATGCTGATGGCTGTATACGCAAAAAATTCCCCTCGTTGCTTTAAAGAGATCCTAGTTTTTAATAAAACCTTTGCTTTATATAGCATAGAAATAATGGTTATGCATATAGTGTTTGAACTAAGTGTAAAGGAGAAACATTGAGGAACGAAACAAACGACGTGTACGGAGGAACTTCGTATTTGATGTGCAAAACTCATCCTAGAAAGTGCTTTTATTCGGATCGTGACAGGACGTGTATATATGAAAAATTTAAAATCTTCATCACTGCATAGTCCACAGATTGATTCATAAAGGTTCTATTTTTTCAGGGTAGCCAGATCCCGCATGAAAAACATGCGATCTGGTTTGGGGTAATGGATATTTTCGATAGATGTATCCTAGAAAAAATAGTTTATATTGTGTATGTATATGTATGTAATCAAATATACATACTGTGAATAATCCCCCAAAACACCACATAACAATAAGCAAATCCAATCCAAGTGTTGCTTTTAAATACCAGACATTGCAACACAGAATTTACAGGAGGGATAGAGGGCTCTGGGAGAGCCAACCCTCCAATCCTGACGTCAGACGAGAGAGAGAGAGAGAGAGAGAGAGAGAGAGAGAGAGAGAGAGAGAGAGAGAGAGAGAGACACACAGATCACCAGAGGACTTTCCTCGTTATAGTTTTAAACACTTTACTCATTCTTACTAATTCAAGCAATGATGCGACGCATATGTAGCCTATCGCTGAAAGCAACCGAGTGTCTTCAGAAAAGTTTCAATTGCATTTCAACTTTATCTGATAAAATAGCCTTCATGAGTGCAGCTGCTTTGTTTACAGCTGTTTCTGGGGAAACCGTTATATGTTTGACGTTCCAAAAGCGCCTCCTACTGGCAGAGAATCAATTTGAATTTTCAATAAGCCTCTCTGCTGTTTCCCCCATCCATATCAGTTTTAAATTGATATAATTTATACTTCTGACCCGTCTCTTTTCTTAAAAAATGGTTTAAAGACTGAAATGTCAGGTTTATCATTTTAGATATATTTTTTTTGTTTTTGTGAAAACCTGTATCTCAACTGTAATTAAATCACGTTTTTACAGTCGTTTTACGGTTTAATGTTACCATAGACATTGCACTACACTGCTCATATGGTATTCATTTTTATTTTTAAATAAATTTTTGCAGGTCTTAAAAAGTCTTAAATTTGATTTTAAAAATCCTGCAGACAGATGTAGGTTTGCACACTGCCAGCATCTAGAATGATTTTGATCAGCATTTTAGTCACTACAGTATAAATAAGGCAATTCATAATGAACATTAATGGATACTAATATCTAAACATTTATAACATATTTTCTTTAAAATTTAATATTTAAATGTATTTATTAATATTAATATCAAGACTGAATATATGTATTTATTTTTACTTTATGCAGAAATGCACTAATGTTCAATAATGAACATATGGCAGATGTTCATTTCATTGTTGGTCCGCCCAGGGAATCAGAAAGGGTCCCAGCACACAAGGTGAGCCCACACACCTCATATTTTGGTTGTCTTCCAAACTGAACACACCTGATTCAAACCATCAGCTTATCAGTGGACCTGAAATCGGTGTCAGAAAAGGAAGACTTTCCAGGAAATGCTTTGAAACTAGATGAAACACTGACGAATTGTCTCTTCTGCTTCTCTCAGTATGTGCTGGCAGTGGGGAGCTCTGTTTTCTGTGCCATGTTTTATGGGGATCTCGCGGAAGGGGACTCTGATATCCATATTCCAGATGTGGAACCCGCTGCTTTTCTCATCCTGCTCAAGTAAGACTCACTCACTAATCACATACGGGCATTAATAACAGGGCGACTCGGCTTTCATGCCTGGCATGGAAGGAGTTACCCTCTTATTTCAGAACTATTAGAGACTGTTTATTGGATTGTGAATGCGAATTATGTACTTTTTCCCTGGGAAAGTTGGAAGTCACTGTTTAAAGCAGTAGTGATGCAATAAAAAAAGGGCATGTTAAACAGATCAGCTTTTGTGAAGTATAAAATAGCTGTTTTATTCTCTTCCTATGGGGCACTTAAAATTTACCCTAACCTCTCTATTTCCCTCTTCTTTATCAGATACATGTACAGTGATGAGATAGACCTGGCGGCTGACACAGTACTGGCTACACTTTACGCTGCCAAGAAATATCTGGTGTCTGCTCTGGCTCGCGCATGTGTGAGTTTTCTCGAGACAAGCCTGGAGGCGCGAAATGCATGTGTGCTGCTATCTCAAAGTCGGCTGTTTGAGGAGCCGGAGCTCACTCAGAGGTGTTGGGAAGTGATCGATGCCCAGGCAGAGCTTGCGCTGCACTCGGAAGGTTTCACTGAGATTGACCTGCCCACACTGGAACACATCTTGCAGAGGGAAACCCTGAATGTAAAGGAGGCGGTGGTGTTCCAGGCCATTCTAGGATGGGCCGATGCAGAGTGTCGGAGACAAGGCATGACCCCCTTGTCACAGAACCAGCGCTCCGTGCTGGGGAAGGCGTTGCACCTTGTGCGTCTGCCTTCCATGACGCTGCAGGAATTTGCAGATGGAGCCGCGCAGTCGAACATTTTAACCCTTGAGGAAACGCACAACATCTTTCTCTGGTACACGGCTGCTACGAAACCTGTGCTGGGATTCCCGGTTGAACCCAGAAAGGGACTGACGCCGCAACGCTGTCATCGGTTTCAATCCTCTGCATACCGAAGCAACCAGTGGCGCTACCGCGGACGCTGCGACAGCATCCAGTTCGCTGTGGACAAGCGCGTGTTTATCGCCGGACTTGGTCTATATGGCTCCAGTGGAGGGAAGGCGGAATATAGCGTCAGAATTGAACTAAAGAGACAAGGAGTGCTTCTGGCACAAAACTTGACCAAATTTGTGTCAGACGGTTCAAGCTCAACATTCCCCGTGTGGTTTGAGCACCCAGTACAAGTGGAGCAGGACGCGTTCTACACGGTTAGCGCCGTTCTAGATGGGAGCGAGCTAAGTTATTTTGGACAGGAAGGAATGACAGAAGTCCAGTGTGGGAAAGTCACCTTTCAGTTTCAGTGTTCCTCTGACAGTACTAACGGGACAGGGGTGCAGGGGGGACAGATTCCGGAACTGATATTTTATGCATGATTACGCGGAATTATCTGTTAATGAAGAGACAGCAGGGGGATTTTTCCTCTCAAATAAATGCCTTTACTCACAATATAGCTGCAAGACACTACTAGAAGATGAGACTATCCCCTCTGATTAGATTTTTTTACATTGTACATATAATAGAATGCTGCCCAAACTTATTTATTTCTTTAAACATATTGTTTTAAAACACGTACTTTAATTTAAGCACATTTGATTTCTAATTATTCATAATCTGCCTGTGTACAGTGAAACATTGGTAGTTTGCACTTGAAACTAGGCAGCTTTTCCTCTGTCTTGTTATTTAATGTTTATTTGTTGACAGCTTTATGCTGAGTGACCTAAAAAGGGTTTCAAGAGCCTGCAAAATCAGAAAATATTTGTTTCTATTCATCAAACAGTATTTTGTTTTCTTTTGTCTAATGCACAGTTATATGACCTATTCTGTTTCACTCTAGGTAAAATATGACCTTTCAAAACCTTAAAAATGAAAAGTCTGTCATCATTTACTCATCCTTATGTCGTTCCGAACTTCAGTGACTAACTGATTTCTTAAAACACAAAAGACAATATATTGAAGAATGTTTCAGCTGTTTTTGCCCATAATATAGGATCCAAAAAATAAAATAAAATAAAACAAAGGGTCCAAAACAACATTGGAACCCACTGACTTTCACTGTATGTACAAAAAAAAAACCTAAAACACCAAGAATTTTTTTTTTTGTTCCAGAGGCAAAAGAAAGTCATACAAGTTTGAAATTACATGAAGGCAAATACAGAATGACCAATGTCAGAATTTTGCTTTGTATTGTTGATTGAGCAAAGCAACTGACCAAAACCATCAAAGTGTTCAGTTCAGGTTAAAATTTATACTGCAAGCACAGCTTCATTTACAGTTGCACAGCACCCTCTGGGCTTTAACAGTAGCACTACACAGACCAGCTCACATACTCATACACAGTACCAGTACAATTTAGATGAGCAGCAAAGCATCATGGTAAACTACAATGTCACTCATGTGATGCTTACCAATCGCTGGCGCACTGATACACAGCTCTCTGGCTAAAACAAGGAAGGTTTTTCCCAAAACATACACATTCACCTATAGGGCAAGAGAGAAAGATAGAGTGAGAAATGGACATAAATTTGTGGTCAAGAAAGAAAATGACTACAAATACAGAAATAGACAGTGGGAATATATAACAGACAATGAACAAGAGATATAAGATAAAGGGACATAACAGATGCAGTATTTTAACAGATGCTGAAGGTTGCAGAGTTCATAGCTCTGGGGTTTGGATCCGTACCAGCATCACCACAGAGTCTTCACTTTCTCACAAATTCTATATCTGTGTCTTATCCTTAGAGGATGAACTACAATAACAAAAATATTTCATAAAACAAGCTTTAAACATCATATAACTCAATACTTATCTTCATGGACCACCTTAATAATCATCAAAAAAAAAAAGATATCCACGAGGAACGACGCACAAACACAGACACCCTATTTCTTCCATCTGGGCCCCAACGCATTAAAGAGGAATCTTTTTTGGTTGATGTCAGAGGTCATGACCACTGAAAAGTAGGATGGCCCTCACACACTCCTGACCTGAGAGGGGCGGCGACAGCCTTATGCCTCAAAAAGCTCCTCTGTCTGGAGGAGAGCAAAGGAATTTATGGGTCCTCTCTCTGGTAAAATCCCATAATGACTCGGGGGGGGAAGAGACAGCTGGGAGGGTAAAAATATAAAACGGACACACCAGCTGGGGGAAAATGGCTTTCACACACTAACTGGGTTCAAAAGTCTGGGATTGCTAGTGAAAATTCATCCATTTTGCATTATGTTATTATTTAACATAAGCGTGTTCATTCTAAATTATACCAGTAACCAGCATAACAATTTTGAGTGAAAAGCTGTAATTAAAAATGTACATGAACTTCAGAATGTTTTAGTATTTTGTTTGGCTCCATTTCACATAAATAATGTCACAAATTTGCTTTTAACAAAGCGTAAGCTTAGAGGGGACCGTGCCTTTGCTGTGGCAGCTCCTAAACTGTGGAATGATCTTCCTCTGCCCATTAGACAGGTCTCTTCATTGTCTTTATTTAAATCGCATCTTAAAACCATAGACTGTATAAAAACAGCTTAAAACCCATCTTTTCTCCTTGGCCTTTGACACCTGATGTTGACATTTTGTTTATTTATTTTATTGTGTCTGTGGTATGTTTTATGTCTCTTAATTTGTTTTGTATTTTATGCCTTGTATGAGTTATGTATTTTATGCGTGTTTTATTTATTCTTCTGTACAGCACTTTGGTCCACTTTGGTTGTTTTAAAGTACTTTATTTTGATTGATTGATTGATTGATTGCTTGATTTTACCTAAACAACGCATAACCTTCATTTCTTTGTCATTTGATTTATTTTGAAAATATTACAAATTATAAAACTTCTAGGTTTAAAATTAAAAATGTGTGTGTGTGTGTGTGTGTGTATATATATATATATATATATATATATATATACTGGTTTTACTTA